ATCATGTTATAGTATCTCTCTCCTAACATATTCTAACTCTCTATTTCACCATTGTTCCTTCTTTTTCTCTGTCTCTCCTTCACTTATTTTAATAGATTTGCTTATATCTGGAACCTTTTGTTATTTGAACTTGAAGACACGCCTCGAAGCGGACGACCTGCAGAATTCGACCAAGAGCGTCTGAAGGCACTATTGAAGGAAGATGGTCGCCAAACAATTCGTGTATTGGCTGATTATTATAATAACTTATTTAATGATTTATTATTGCAATTATTGCTTTTTGTTCAGAGAAATCTTTGTGAAAAACTCTACGAACATATGTTACAACCTAATAGAAAAATGCCACCAACCTGAGCTGTGACGTCAAAATCGTGTTTCCATTGGAAGGTCTCAAAAACGTCACTTGCAAAGGGGTTCGTATGATCTAAACAATACGCTTAACTAATCTATACAAAGCCAAGCTAGGAACCCACACTATATTCCCCTTGCTACGTTGACAAAAACGATTTCAATATGCGAACCAGTTTACCTTACCATTAGCTAAAAACTCTTTTCTTGTCGTTTTTTCAGCAGGGCCAACCAGAATTTCCCAGCGATGAAAAATGGCTGCTATACTTTGTGCTTGGATCAAGTTCTGCCTTTAGTCTTACTCCGAGGAAGCCAGCGCCTTTTCTCTCAGCGGCTAAGCGAGCTCATCAGACTGTGGCAGGTAGAACTACTTGTTCAATATTAGATGCATGCAGAATTGAATTAAGTTCGAATTATATGTGATTGTAATCGGTAATGGTGCGAATCCAAAATGACCAGGAGTATCTCAAAGATCCCCTCCATTGATCAAACATCAGCGGCACCGCTTCTCTGATAGAATGCCGTACAGCTGAAGTGGGCTTATCCTAACTTCGCAGACTGCTTTTTTACCAAGCGACAAGCTTCTTGGATTACTTTTTACTCATTACTCACTTTTAATCTTTAGAATTCGGTCTTCCAGTAAAAAATTCATCTCATCCGGATACGCTTCCATATAGAGAAACACCTGATGACCAGCGTCTTTCAGTTTGTTGATTAGTGCCATAAAAGAACCGGTGTGTGAACGTCCTTGAGGCATTGAGGCCAGCAGTATCTTCGCGCCATGCACATTGCTAACGAATGCTGTCACTAGAAGTAGTACTGGCAGCATAACTTACCTAAACAGGTTCGAAAATCACTACAGTCCTCTCTATAAGCAACTATTTGGCCCTTGATTTTGTTTTAAATGCACTATTCCATCTACAAATCGCTGTTTTCTATCACTATGATAACCAAAATAAACAACACGTAAATAACGACAGAGAAATCCTTCAGGACAACCTGAATAAGATCAATTTCCGGCCCAGCTCGAAAGAAACACTGGAAAATTGGTGGAAGGAAGAAAAAGAAGTTCATAAATGGCAATCATCCAAAATGATCAAACAAATGGTCTCAGCTTGTCTGGGAAGAAAACTATGGATATGCCACGAAATGGGCTCTGAATAACTGAATATGAACACGAGGTGTAATCTACAAAGACCGCTGGTCCTTTTCAAGTCGATTTAGCTGATTGCAGCTGTAAAGAGAGTAATCAATGGAATGAAAATCAACGAAACAGTAATTGCTGGGAATAATCGAATTACCGAATGACCAAAGCTCACCGAACAGGTTTGATTAGTGGCCTAAAGGTGAGAGTAGGAGAACTGCAAGAAGTGAATGGCACCTTGAGTGAAGAGGAGAGTTCAAATTAAACCCTTCATCGACAATTTGGAGTAGACTTTGAAAAAGCGATAGTTCAATATGTTGGTCGATTGAGTCATCGCCGCTCTGACGAATTTAAACGCTCCTCTTAGTCCCGGAGATGGGCCATGCATGTGACTCAGATCATTTACCGCAGCAATAATTGATTTTGCGATGAACTCAAGCACTTGTTGGGATATGCACAAATCATTTCAGTTAACCTGATGCCATTAGGAACCTTTGAAGATGGTTGGACTGCTGGCAAGTTGGATGGACTTTAATATACCTACCACCATACTTATACTGACGACAATCGCTGATTTTTTTTCAAGCTTTTACTTGCATACAAAGAGAAAAATGAAGATAATCTGAAATAGAAATCCCTTCCATAAATTTCAGGGTCATCATCGGTGTTATCTGGCTTTCTGCACAACAAAACTCCTACTAGACACATTCTGATTTGCTCTCACAATCAGAGACCAGAAGCAAAGCAAAGATTATAGAGACGAAGATTTCCTCCTCCAATAACAATTAAGTTCCTATTCCGAAAATGTAGGAAAATGAAAAATTGCATCAATAAGAAATACAATGAAAAGTTGTAAAAGGGAGCAAGAAACAATAACTCGTAAACGCTGCAAATCTGAATGCTTTTCGAAGTCAGGAAGTGGCCTGATCAATAGTTGCTTATCGGACAGTAATATAATGGGGTCAACT